GATCTGAAATTGTTATCTAGCGGACGGCATGAAAACGCGCCTAAATGATGCCTGCGGAGAGTCTTCAGGTCACGCAACAGATGTTCGCCTAGCGGAGTTCTACATGGAAAAGTTCGATGGCGGTAAGTGACTACGACAACACTATTTTAATCTTATTTTCGGGATAGAAGCACAGTTTTTAGTCTGATAGAACTATTGATATTTGCTCTCAAGCGAGAGCGCCGTCTGACGTACTTACGGATTGATTTAATGATTGATCGACTGACTGCCTCGCTGACTCATTCAATCTCTCATTCAAAAACTTGCCGACTCTCTTACTCAATAGTTGACTTAATGACTGACTGATTGACTGACTCATTCACTTGCTAGCTGACTATCTGCTTCAATAGTTGGCAGATTTACCGACTAATTTGCTTGATCAATGACCATTAGCTCAAAGGCTGACTGATTGACTGACCAATTTACAGACTGCCTAGTCGTGAGACTTACTGACTCACTCCCATCGTCGGGCTGGGTGGTTGTATTGCTAACAGATTGACCGGCTGGCTAACGGAAAACAGACATACCGACTGCCTGATTAAGTGATTAGCCATTTGACTCATATTCTGACTGGCCGACGGGTTTGCCATCTGATTTACCTTATTTACTAATTATTGACTATAAAAATTAAACAAAAACAATGTTATCTGTCTTCGATTCATGACTCTTAACTTCCTGTCTTCTTTCTTCCTGTTGTTTCATCAAGCACTCATTCAAAACAAGACAGAGGAAACATTTTTGTAGCTTTGGCGAAATTTTTTTGTTGCTTAATCCGTAGATTAAGGGGTTGATGCAGTTTGTGAAAAATGTCAAGAAAGCGAGAAAAAAGTTTTCAGTAGTGGACAGGTTGGCTTTCCCAGCTAATGCAAGGAAGAGGAACAATCGATTTAGGGTGTAACAAATGTTAACACGAGGCACGAAATTGCTATCATCCGGGTCATCTTCCCACGCAGTTTAGCCTTGCTTGCCGCTGACGCAATCGCTAACAAATTCACTGCAACAATCATGTGAAGGTACAAGCCAATCATGACAAAGCTAGGAAAGAAAACCATCATTATTCCCTGAAAGGCACACACACAGTGACTCTTTTTCTAAGCTGATTTTCTCGGATCGTAAAACTGAATTTCGCAGGATCACTAGTTTGCTAGACAATTAACATACCGTAAGAGACGAACTAAAGAAACGATTAAACAATTGTGTATCTTAAACGGCAGCTCCACTGAGTGGATAATTTGCAAAAATCGGATCGCCTTGCAGAGAAATATCACATAGTCTTGTGGAAAAATTGAAGATTTTTTTAAAGTAATTTTTTAAAAGTGGGTTTTTGTGTAAAAGTGTAATATAATCCTCGCGCATTAGGAAAGTGTACACGATTTGTTGGTACTGACATTAGTAAGAAAGTTCAAGTCAGCTTGAACCGCCAAACGGGAGATTTTTGCTGCAATATCATTGGCAGCAGAATTCAATCCATCTTGATTGCGCTCGGTATCACATTAACTTTGAAACCAAATTGTGGGGATAGAAGCTCATAGAGCCGTCTTTAGACTTCGAGGTGTTAGAATCATCTTCTTTGTCGTGAAAAAAGGCTTTCACTTGAACGCGGCGAGGGAATTTCGCAACGTCTTGCTTAACTGAAAACTCGTCGGTTCTTTTTGGTTCCTTACTGAGAACTTATTTTTCTGAATCGGAAAGTGTAAAATTTACTGGAATGGCAACTACAGTTTTGAGGCTTTCAAGCTTTGAGTTATTAGTAATTTGGGGACCGATAAGTTGGTCGAGTTTTTGGGCCTTAATTTGGTGCAAATAGTTAAAAAGTTCAGAATAGGCCATTTTACAGTTGAGTACTTAGTTGCCAAACCTTTGATTTGGAGTAAGGCTGAAGTTGACCATGTTGTGATAGAGACCAGTCTCTAGTTAGCATGATAACAAAGTCTTTTACATATGAAAAGCAGCAAGGTTTGTATCATAACAAGGTCACCCTTGGGTTCATTCTCGTTCAAAGACTTGGAAATCAAGCAATCAACTGTAAAACGGACTATTAGTATCCTGAATTTTGGCACGAATAGATTGTACTAAAATAGCTGGACAGATTTTGGAAAGTTCAGAGCGGCAAGGTAGAATTTGTTCGTTGAGTTCGTTACGTTTTCAGCACATGGCTCTGATGGTGATTCGCGTTATACAGTAAAGATCTAGCATTCCGTTTAGCCATCCTCATTTTCACCAAAACTAGGTTTTGTACTCACATCAATTTTATCGGCGGTTGCCTTTATTCCAAAGTTATTCCTAAGGTTTTACGCTCCAATTTTCATGCATCTCCTTCTTCTCATTTTAACCAATATCGTCACCAATGTTCAATGCCCCCCTTTTTCACGTGATATTACTACAACCTCATTGACCCATTGACGTACTCAATCACTAACTTGCTTACTCTCTGATTAGATGCTGATTGGCTCACTGACTGACTCATTAACATGCTGACTCGATAGTTGACTGACTCACTGATTAAACTATTCACTTTCCCGCTGACTTATTTACGTTCCCCTGCGTAAAAACCATGTTTCGCTCCACATGACTCAACATTAAGGACTTTATTAAGATATGAATCTCCAACAAATGACTCAGTTGTTCTAAAAATGATTCTATAAAGATCTCACTTCCAAGCATTGTCTCTAATTTTATTTGGATGTTTTTCCCCAAACCTTTTCTATCATTGTTTCATTAATATTAAACTAAAGGTGATTAATTGCATTACTTTTAAAAAGACCCTTGTTTCAATAGTAAATGATAACACTCATCGCAACATAATATTTCAGATGCATTTTACCATTATACTTTATTCATGAAAATTGGCAGACTATCAAGCACATAAAAGGGGTAAAAATACGACAGTTGCTGCTTTCCCTACTACTGCGTTGTCTTCTCCAGTCGACTGATTTGATTACTCTATTAAAGCTCAGAACAAAGAGGTTTTTTTCGAGCTCTCCCTCGCAGTGGCATTCCTTAAAAAGACGCATCTTAAACTAAGACATATCCATCGAGGGGAGTGTAAAAGAGGACGTTTGAAATCGATCTGCCACAACTTTGGGTCATCGGCCTCTAAGTGGGAGGAGGGTTTGCGAGCACCTCCCAAGACGAGAGACAACATCTCAATCGTGGAGAGGAGAATAATGGCTCCAGGAATACTACTTGAAGCCCGAGCATGTTATGACCAGCAAATGTAAATCATGCAAATGTATAGCAAATTTTAAACAACATTCGGAATTTCAAAATGTCGTATGGTAATGGTTGGAGGGAGGAGGTGTGACTGAACTGATAGTTGCTTGGTCTTTGTGTCTCTTCACTTGAACCTTGTCAACATATCAAAGCTAAGATAAGCATAAGTACAGCATAAGCAACTTATCAACAATCTGATGCCTTTAAGCATATGTTACTCATAATTTGATTGCTCTCATATAAAACTGTAAAGCGTTAGGTCTGGTCCCACACTGTCTAAGCAAAAAACATAGGCCAAAACTGCCTTTCACACATGGAGAGGAGAGATACGTCTCAAGGGACTGTGCTGGAGGCCAAAGCATGTTCACACCAGGGTAGTGCGGCGAACCAAACGCCCTCTTTAACGTGAACAACAAACCGTGCAGTAGACAACTCCAAGAAAATACACACAAGTTAATCCTAATAGTTAATTTATTGCAAATAAGATTAAACGATCCTAATATAATTAAAATAGTAACAATGATTACATTCTGAGAATTAAGCACAGATTACAACTGACAACTGTACAATCTAGAATAAAAACACCTTAATACTGAATGTTAAACTATATTTAATGACAACTCTTAAGACTGAATTGAGTTCCGTAAATGTTCTTTTTTACCTTGTCAGTCAATTTCTTCTTCTCTTCGTCCGTCCCATCCATTTCCAGCCCGTCACAGACGATAACCAAAACCATTTCCAAAATATCCATAGAACCACGACACTTCCAAATATCATCCTGTGTAGCCTTTAGCAAACTGTTCGTTGAAATAAATGTTTAATCACGTCCAGATAGATTCTCACTCGTTGGAGACCGTGCATAACTGCTTGTGTGGCAATGTTTCTATCGGACGTTTTCTCTTCTATTTTCCACGACAAACGAGTCTCTTGTTCTTACTGGTTCAATACCTCGTTGTCATCTGCCTAATGTATACACCAATGCGGACGACACGCTATTACATCTTGCGTTAAAGCTTGATAGCGTCTTGAATACAGATGAAGCCATTACTGCTATGGAGCCTTATGTACAAGAAATCAGAACGTGGATGCTAAGTGATAAATTTAAGATCAATGATAGCAAGACAGAGTTCTTCATGATAGGTAGGACCAGCAGCTGTCCAAGGTCCATGCAGATTCACTCGAGGTCTGGGAAGCTCGCGTTCCATCTGTGAAGTCAGTCAAAAACCTTGGAACTTGGATTGACAGTAACTTGGGACTTCAAGAACATAGAAATAACACTCGTAAAGCGGCTTACTTTCATTTTACAAACGTTAGATGCATAAGGAAATATTCAAGTAATGAAGCGACACAAACACTTGTTCATGCATTAATTACAAGGCGCATAGATTAGTGTAACAGTATTCTACGTGGACTTCCGGCAATACGCTTAGCTAAATTATCAAGGCTTCAAAATTCAGCAGCTAGAGTTATATACAATTTACCAAAACAATCTCGTACTACACCAGTTTTAAACATTTTGCATTGGCTACCGGTTAAATTTGTGATAGATTTTAAGGTTACTTCAATTTACATTTAAGGCAATTTATGGGATCGCTCCAAAACATATTTGTGAATTGATTAGCATTAAGGATAACGATCCATGTAAAGTCAGATTTTCTAAAGGTTTACTTTCATAGCCACCAAATGTCTTGACTAAAAATAAAACTGGGAGACCATGCACCGAAACTATGAAACACTCTACCCCTGCATTTACGAAATGAGACATTTTAATACTTTTAAATCAATGTTAAAGACTTGTCTCTTTAGACTTGCTTTTTATTACATTTAAAACAAAAAAGGTAAACAAAAGAAAGGAAAAAAAAACATTCTTCGGAAAACTAACAATGAACAGTTAATACGATTTTACAGAGCACGATTACAATAAACTGTTACGATAAGGCGTGAAAAAGCATGGAAACAAATAACAAACCAGCTCAGCTGACCATGATGGTGAGATCAGCAAGAAAATCAATCCCTTAGTTACATGTTAACAGCCAAGGAATTGCTTTGCTGTCAGGTTCTACTAACAGCTCTTTTTTGGTGTTAGGAAATGAATGGTCCACAGCAGAGCAGAAAGAACACACAGAAAATGGCTTAGAGAAACACTCTGAGAGGCATGAAGGACAAATGTTAATTTGCTTTCAAGGAGAGACTAAAGGACAGGAATAGCACAACTTACCAAATAACTTAATGTCTGACTAACGGTCTAACTGACTGACTGACTGACTTACTAATTTATTATTTAACAGACCCCATTGGCTGACTGGTTGTTTCGCTGACTGACGGGCTGACTGCCTAGCTGGTTGGCTAACAGAAAGACACAGACAGACTGGCAGATAGGTACTGACTGCGTGGCTAACAGACTAAAAATCTCACCGCCTGCCTGGCTGACTAGCTTACAGTTAGCTGACTTACGGACTGTTGATTACAAAGCTAATAACATAACTTACAAACACATTTTTGAATGTTCTCGCGCCTCAGAAATTGAGCTATATTTGTTGTCTTTTATGACCTTCCCTGTTAGTCTATCAGGCATATCTTCAACACAAGCCAGAGAAAACATTTTTGTATCTCTGGCGAAAGTTTCCGTTGCTGAATCCGTAAACAAGGGGGTTGATGCAGCTAGAGAAAAATGTCAACAGAGAGAGAACACCATTTACCGTACTATATATGTTGACGTTTCCGGTAAATGCAAGGAAGAGAAAGATTCGACTTGGAGTATAGCAAATGATTAGAATAAAGCAAACAATTGCGACCATCCGGGTCATCTTCCCACGGAGTTTAGCCTTGCTTTCCGCTGACGCAACCACTGACGAATTTACAGAAACGATCATGTGAATGTACAAGCCAATCATGACAAGGCAAGGAAAGAAAACCATCATCATCACCTGGAAGACACCGACAAACAGCCTGGCCGAGGAGCCTTTGCCAATGATGTTGACTCTGCACCGGAAAACCGAGTTGGGATTGTATTCCATATCCAATATGGCTGAGGACATTAGTAGACACGACCATACCCACGACGCCAAAATGCATCCAGCAACATTTTTTCTTCTAAAAATACTACTATATTTGTGTGGCTTCACGATGGCAATCCATCGCTCGACCGACAACAGCAGACAAATGTAAACCGAGAAAAACAAGAGCTGCCATGGAAAGAAGAAGGTCGCAATAATTTTACAAAAGATCGCTCCATAAACAGGGTTTGACGGGAGAAAATAATGATTGGCGACATGAGTCATGATCACAATGACCGCGCTTAGTACATCAGAGACCGCCAACGACAGAATCAAAATGTTGTAGGATTTTTTTAAAAGTCTCCTATCATAGACAAAAACCAGAATAACTAAGGTATTACCAAAGAGGGCAACTGAGGACAACACAATGTAAGCAGTGGTTTGGATAATATAGAACAGGAGTAATCGTCGAGCAACTTCCTGACTTAAGGTAGGAGCCGAGGTAGTTGTGTCCTTCGTAAAATTGTTCCAAGACAGATTCATAGTTATTAATTCAATTGAACTTCCGAAAGCTTCAACTCTCTTCTTTTTTCTCTTAATATTTCGATAGCTAGATTCTTGCTATCACCTGTGTATTTCTGAAAGAAAAAAAATTAATTAAAAGAATTCAAGTTAAGGACATCCTCTTTCTACGGTGACCTTAGAGCACTGGGTGTGTCACTACAAGAAAAAAATTCGAGACGACTCAAGCACACGTCAGTTTACCGAGACTGCCGTATTTATGCAAAGACACTAAGATTGAGACATGTACAGAAATTAATGCAATAACGAAAATGGCGAAAAATTCGTCAAAATCCTCATTCCCCCAAGTTGATTTTGCTTTGACGAATTTGACTAAAATTCGCCAAAATTGTCAAATCCATGGACATTCTCTCGGTTTGACGAAATTTCGTCATTTCTGCCATTTTCGTTACTGCGTGCGTTTCTGGACATAAGTGCGAAGATTAGAAAGGGATGCTGAAGTAGAAACAGAATCGTGATTCTTATTTTTATGAAATACTAAAATTAGAAGTGTTTAGCAACTACTAAAATCAGGAATGTTCTGATTATCTTGAAATCCGTATGCGAGTCTTGCGAGCCTTAGTTTGTTATGTACTGTTTTTTATGGGACGACTTGGACTTTGGCAAGCTTGATATCACTCCCTTGGGCATTTACAGCTTTCCATGCAGTGTTGGTTTCGTTTGAATGAAAACAAGCCTTGCCGCATGTCCGAAGGTTAACGCAGTAATACCGCACACAAAAGGTATAATAGTATTAGCTGCATAACATCAATAACCAAAAGAAAAGCGATGAAAGCAAAACAAACAAAGCAAAGGAACGATCATTCCTCTTGCGCCAACGTTACATATGTAACCGTGTCGATGGGAAAGAATGGCAGAGAGATACAGCTGGGACCTTCGGACACGAGGCAAGGCTTATTTTCATTCCAAAGAAACTAGCGTTGGCCTTTTAGACTTTTTATCATAATAATCCTTCATTTTCTGCTGAGAACGTTCCAGGTTCTCTTTAGCTATATTCTGCACCGATTCCACCTTCTCTACAAAGCTTCATGCACATAGCTTGCAAGATCTTCGGATGCACTAGGCGATAGTTTGACATCGATTGGTAGGCGGGGCTCTCAACGGATTTCTTCGTAGAAAGGGCTGACTCCAATTGCTCCACAAATAGAAGTTCTAAACCATCGGAATGTATTCGTCCCGGTTCGAATTAAATCTTTCAACCAGACCATCAGTTTGAAAGTGATAACACGATCTGTTTACCTTATGAATTTGAAAAAATCTTACAAAACTCAGCAACTAATTTTGAAATAAAATTCTATTCTCTATCCGATTGCAAAACTTAAAGAGCTATCATTTCATCAATCAAAAGCCGAGCGACTACGATCGCTTCAGCACTAGGAACTGAAAAAGCTTCTACCCATCGAGTAAGATAATCATTAAAAACAACGATAAATCTGTAATTTTTCCTTAGTGGTGGAAGTTGTCCCAGGATATCAACACCAACTCTTTCAAATGGCCCTTCTACGAGAATAGCAAGTAAGGGGCTCTTTTAAAATTTCTTGGTGATTTTCTTATTGAGGAATCTTGGCAGGGCTTGCACCAGTGCTCAACATCCTTGTATATTCCTTTCCATCAATACCTTAACTTAGTTTTGTGAATCCTTAAATGGCCGCCAGAGACGTGATCATGAATGTTGGATAACATTTCAAATTTTGGAGACTGAGGAACTTCAAGCCGTGAAAACTAATCTTAGTTGCCGCGTTTCTGATTACGATACAGTAAACCATCCCGACCAGTGTAAAAGCTATCTCTTGTAAGAGAAAGTTTTCGAGCCGATTTGTCATCAAAAGGAACTACAGCATTTCTGAAGAAATCGATTATTTTACTTCACTCAAGGCCTCTTCTCTACTTTTAGCCACCTAGGGATCTTCTTTACGAAGTGAATTCAAATCATGACTTGATTCATAAGGACGCCCAGATGAGCCAGCATTATTTCTGTGCTCTTTACCAGGTCGGTGAATAATCTCACACTCATATTGCTGAAGCGGCAAGGACCACCTCGCTAAACGACCTGTTGCGTCCAGAACATTTAGGAGCCACTTAAGCGAATTATGCTCAGCAATCACCGTAAATTTGCAACCAAACAATTAAGGCTGAGATTTTTAATTCCTTCTACTAAAGTAAGTGCTTCGCGCTAAGTTGGACTATAATTATTTTCAGCTTGGCTCAAACCGCGACCGTTGTAAGCAATGACCACTTCTCTATCACTCTGCTTTTGAGCAAGAGTAAAGCCAATTCCGGTTGAGCTTGCATCAATAAAGAATATATAAAAATTTCATACAAAAATTCTTGTTTAAAATTAGAGTACGTCAAAACTGGAGCAGAAACCAAGGCGCGCTTCAGCTTGTCAAAGGCATCTGAACCAGCTTCGGTAATAATTTGCTAACCCAATGAAAGTTCTTAATTCCTTCAGGTTTTTGGGAACAGGAAATTCACGAACAACACACGCCTTCTCAGGGTTTGGCTGCACCCCATCAGGTGTAACTACGTGATCTAGGCACTCAACTGTCTGCTTCGCAAAGCAACACTTCTTCGGATTAAGTTTTAAATTGCCTCCTCTTACTCTCTTGAAAATTCCTTCCAGATGAGTCACATGTTTCCCTATTGACTTTCAAAATACAACCTCTTAAAATATGGCTCATCAAACGAGTGAAACTTGTTTCAGAATTTGTAAGTCCAAAAAGCACGAGTAAAATTCTTAAAGACGTTCTGAATAGCAAACGCTGTCTTTTCTCACAAGATAAAGGATCCATCTCAATTTGCCAATAACCCGATTTTAGATCAAGAGTAGAAAAATACTTTGTTCCTGATAAAGGTTTAAGCCACTAGAGGCACTCAATGGAAAGCAGTCTTGTACCATGACTTTGTTTTTGCGCGAGAATCAATGCAAATTCTCATTTCACCACTGTTATTCTTATCCAAAACTACAAGAGAAGACCAAGGACTCAAAGATTCTTGCATTATTCCTTTTTGCAGCATATTGTCTACTTGGCGGTAGATTTCCTCCCTATTTTCAGGCGTTGTCAGATAAGGCCTTTGCTTAACGAAATGGGTATCGCCTGAATCAATGACATGTTCTGGGACACTCGCAATAATCACGTTTACTTCAATACTACTTAGGTCGGTTGGGGTGCGGATATTTTCGGATGGTTTCAATTCAAAATTCGCTATGCTTGGGTGAACTTCTTTAAAACTACCAAAATTCGTTCCACGATACACTTTGACTGGCTCAGCAGAAGGATTAATAATTCGAACTGAAAATCGTCTGAAACACAAACTAACTCTGTGGCTCCGAAGATAGAGTATTTTTCAGGTAATGTGAACCTGAAAGCCACTATCCCAGTTGTATTTGGACTTTTTGGCAAAGTACTTAAAGCTGTAGGAAGAACTACCTAAGATTCCGGCGGGGTAACAAATGAAAAATCCGCATGGTCTGAACATCATCAGCTTCAAAACCATAAAGAGGAAGCGGATTTCTTCTGAAGACAATTCAATGAAGACTTTATCGAAGTCAATCTTAGAAGAATATTTCTTGAGAAAGTCTCTATTTAAAATCACATATGTTGAACCTTCAATCACATGTGCTTTACAAGGAAAATTCCTCGTTTGAATGACAAATTTGATCATGTTTTACCTAAGAAAACTTAACTGTAAAATTTTCAGAGGAAATCCATCCACCGAGGTGATAATTCCGGAAGCAGACGCTCTTAAAATTAGAGTGAACGCTATATAAATGTTCATTCCCTACATGTGCCTTTATTGCTGTGACAGCCGCACCAGTGTCTACATGGCAAGAGAATTTGTGACATTCTATACTTACGGAGACTAATAGAGCTGTAAGGGGGGAACAGGTGCCATCAATCGCGTCTCTCGATAAATTTGAGACTTTATCATCGAAAAAGAATCAAGCACTTCTTTTTCAACGAACGTAGTTGGACAACGCGAGTGACAATCTTCATGGACTTCAACAACTAATTTGGTACTTCGGGTGGTATAAAAACAATTTTCATCCACTTTAAGCTCCAATTTATCATCCCTAACAACGTCGGGTGCTCTGACCAAAATTTTGTGACCTTAATTTCCTTAAGAAACATTATACACTTAATTTATGTTCCCGAGGGAAACAGTTAGTTTTGTTTTCCCGTGAGTCCTGATGTTTCCCCGAGACGAAGTCAGAAGAAGCATCAGGACTCGAGGGAAAACAAAACTAACTAGTTTGCCGAGGGACCATACATTAAGTGCTTTGTTATATATTTAGAGTTTCCCTTAAACAATCATGTGCTTTTGTATTCGGCGCGCGTGCAACAACTGCGCAAATGTATCCAGGTCGGGATACATTTGAATTTAATCAGGGGCACGTGACCAAGAAAGTCTAGGCATATAACAATGCCTGTTTTTCCCCTACCCACCCTACCCCCTTTTTTCTTCCTCTTACTTCAAAGTACGTCTGACCTGTAGTAAGCAGTTACCCACGGGGAAGGGCGACCGTTGAATACAGGTTGACCGCCTGGTTCCACAGATTTGGTACATTACAAAAAACGATAACTAACAAAGCCGCTTTATGGCATAACTGAAACTTATTGTACGGAATCTCGCTCGAAAATACTTCTCACTTTGACTTTTGGAGAGAAACATGGATTAAAAATTACTTGAAAGATTAGTATTAGTTCATTTGAGTGGTTCGGCTTTAACTGACCGTTCAGTTCAAGTGGAAGACATCACAATCAGGCCGTTGGGAATCAGTAAAGGGTGACTGCGACCGCTTAATAGAGGTGAAAATACCAGTGACTGAGAGGAAACAAATTCGGAACTTTGGCAACCGACCGCTTCATATAGGGTGACTGCTTGATACGGTGCCGCTTAATACAATTTCGACGGTAGTCCCTTAGAAATACTTCTATAAGCAAAGTGCTTTCAAAATTTACCTTGTTGGACCAGGATCTCTCTTCACGCAATCAGCGATACGTCTTCAGCGATAGTTTCATAACCAGTGATACCAACCGCCTCTTTTATCACTTTCTTTATGAACCTCCTCCATCACAACTGAATCTCAAAATAGGTTAATCTTGATGAGTCGGAAATTGTTAACAGCCTTTGCTTTGAGGATAATAAATTTAGATTAAACAGATAAAAAGGCTCCGAGAGTTGAAATAAAAAATTGAAATCAAACTGTCAGTGCCTGAAGTATTGATCTCTTCGGAACATACGTGGCGGCGTTTAAAAGCCGTTTACAGCGTTATTTTAAATTAATAACTGAACAAATAACGTTCACGGAAGTTTTAAATCAATGACACTGATAAAAGAGAATTTGTTAACATATATTTTCCCTCATAACCTTTGAAGAGAAAGAGAGAGCGAAATTGCAGATGGAAAAATCAATTGAGCACGTTCGCTGATTGGTTAGAGAATAAGTACAGTGATAAAAGGCGGACGTACCTCTCTTCGTATCTATTTGTATCTTCTGCTCCATTGTAAAAGAACTTGCGTACTTTCCGAAAATCCGACCGCCCCGGAGATGACGATGACAACCTTCAAAAATTGAGCAGACTTTTTCAAAGTAATTTAAATCAAAAGTAAGTCATTATTGATCCAATAATCCAAGCGCATAAGTTATATCTACACGACCTGTTGGAAGTGATATTAGAAAAAGAGGAACTTCATTAGGAGATAGAAAATTAAAAGAACAACTTTCTGAAACTTGTCACTGAGTATTTTCGTTTACATAATAAAAACATTGTTGCAATAGGCATGGCTTGAAAGTCAGCATACGTGAAAACAATTTTCTAAAAATCTCTTAATACCCAGTTATTATTGGGAACTCGCTTAATCCGAGGAGAACAGAAATTACTTGAGTATTACAAATTTTGATGATAATTTTTTGTTAACTATTTGACGACGCATGAAATGGTTGCTGGCACCATTTTTCCTGGCTAGGTTAGCTAAACTGAAATTTTACCTCTTTAATAAATGAACAACTTTTAGGTTACGTGGTTATCGCGAGGTTTCTCTAAAATACATTTGCCGCAGATTTTTGGTATCCAGAATTTATTGATAGATTTCCACTCTCTCGTTCGCCAAGGGAGTGCTTCGAGTTGGTTTCCTCAAATACACGTATCTATTTGTTCCGTCAAGTCATTTTACGGCCTTACCCGTTTTCCTTTCCTCCAGAACCAAATAATTGTTATCTCTGCTGCATAAAAGTAATTATAAATATAAACGGATTGGTGTGTTCTGAGATTCTAAGGAGTAACCTTGCTTATCGAACACTGTCTTCAAATATGCTAAGAATACGACTATAGAGGGCGTCATTTTAAAAAACAACTCAGTGACTTATCACCCAAAATTATCATGGCTCCCAATAGTTCAAACAGACCTCCAAGAGATGGAAAAAAGGTTTGTGGATAAGGTATGGCTAGTGAGGTGAGCAGGATACAAAAAGTGACGCTGAAAAGCCGTTCATAACGTCATTTTTAAAAAAAAATTACAATTGTCCTTTACGAAACTTATATATCAGTTCAACTATTAAAGAGTTTCTTTAAAAAAGATATCTATTGCTAGCCTTTTTTCTGAGCTGATTTTCTCAGATCCTAAAAGCAAATTTCGCACCAGCACCGATTAGATAGATATTTAATATTATGAAAGATGACGAACGAAAGAGGTTTTAGTCACATATATGCGTGTATTGTCTAGTCGGTTGAAATAGGTGTGTATAATTTCCGAGAATGGACTGCCATGAAAATGAATCTTAAAAACATTAAACAGAATATTCAAATCTAACTTACGTCCAAATCAGTTATTGTGTGAATGTTAAAAGTAACCCAATAATCCTTGCGGATTAGTCAAAAGTACACGATATATATTTTCCATAATTTCTGTTCAGATTCTTGCTAAGAGCGGATTAAATTACTTATTCTTCGAGGTTCTTCTGTAGCACACAAATCTCTTTGAAGATAAAAACGGCATAATCTATGTTCGTTTGTACATGGAACCTGAATTAAAGTGTGCATTTTGCTTTCGTGCTTTGAGATCAAGAAATGAATAAGAAATTTTGGGATACATTTGTTTGCCCAAGAGCGTTGTTGGAGAAACTCAATAACAGGGCTCGAAATAATTTACAAGCGAACACCGGACAAATTGTTCGGTCAGGACTCGATATATTCACATCACACCTCTGATAATGTTGATTCTAGATTGCCTGATGTTTCACTCAAAACAAGTGGCTTATGCTTCTTTACACGAAACGAAACGAAACCAAACACAATGTTACTTAAAGAAATGGTACTTTGAACTGCGAAATGGTACAATGTAAAAAAATCACGGTGCAACGAAAACAACGAACGTTTGTTTACTTTTGCTCTCGAGTTTCTTGCACATAACTTTACATTAAAATATGAGTTTGAGTCTAGACGTTATAGAAATTATTACATAAATATTTCACTTTCTTTTGGGTTTCGTTTTTCTTAATTTTCAGTATCCTCTTTAGAGATACCCAGGTGGGCTGAACAATAGACTGTGGCAGGCAACATGACATGCCATGTGACTCGTCGTAAATTTACTTGTAAAAAAATTACTCATGGAATTTAGAAAAATATCCCACTGAATTTAGAAAAATTTTCAGCCAAAATTTCCCAATGTTTTTGTCGAGATTTAGTAGAGGTTGCGAAAGAAGAGTAGCCAGTTTCGGATCATTCTCGAAGAAATCAGAATTTTTATGAATGTTTTTTACTGAGTGGGTGAATAGAATTCGATCTTTCTTTTTCTTCGGTAACATTCTGTTCCGG